TTGTAAATCGGAAGGTGCCAGAACAAAAAGTGAGCGCGAGAGGGGGGTGACCTGAGGAGCTCTGAGGTACCAGAAAATCACCTTTTACAATAAAGCATTACATGCATATCATCGCATTTGCGTAGTGGTCTAGACTAGAGCAGTAGAGTAGAGGCGCTTGCAGATTTTTTGGGGGGGGCTATGGTCCGGGAAAAATGTGGCCTTTTATAAACGCATTTCATGCAATTCTATGTCATTTTACATGACTGGAGACTAGCAGAATATTTTTTAATACCACACAAATGATTGAAATGTCAGGCTACTTTGACACTGACAAACTGAGAATGTGAGATCATTAAAAACGACCTCGTCTTGTATCCATCAATAGCCTAGGCCTAAGTGTGTAGAGGAGACACACATATTGTACAATATGGGGGGAAAATTATAGTCCTAAAATAGCTTTCCAGTTTGACTGACTCACCCAACGATGCGCAGCTCACTCACCGGCGATGGCCAGAAGCCTATCGCTCTTGTTTTATACTGAACAAAAATATAAACGCAACATTCGACAATTTCAACGATTTTACTGAGTTCTATTTCATATAAGGAAATCCGTCAATTGAAATAAATAAATTAGGCCCTAATCTATGGATTTCGCATGACTGGGCAGGGGTGCAGCCATGGGTGGGCCTGGGAGGGCATAGGCCCACCCACTTGGGAGCCAGGCCCACCCACTGGGGAACCAGGCCCAGCCAATCAGAATGAGTTTTCCCCCACAAAAGTGCTTTATTACAGACAGAAATACTCCTCAGTTTCGTCAGCTGTCCGGGTGGCTGGTCTCAGACGATCCTGCAGGTGAAGAAGCCGGATGTGGAGGTCCTGGGCTGGTGTGTTACACGTGGTCTGCGGTTGTGAAGCCGGTTGGACGTACTGCCAAAAACTCTAAATATTGGTAGAGAAATTAACATTGGTAGAGAAAGGAACATTCAATTCTCTAGCAACAGCTCTGGTGGACATTCCTGCAGTCAGCATGCCAATTGCATGCTCCCTCAAAACTTGAGACATCTGTGGCATTGTGTTGTGTGACAAAACTGCACATTTTAGAGTGGCCTTTTATTGTCCCCAGCATGAGGTGCACCTGTGTAATGATCATGCTGTTTAATCAGCTTCTTGATATGCCACACTTTTCAGGTGGATGGATTATCTTGGCAATGTAGAAATGCTCACTAACAGGGAAGTAAACAAATTTGTGCACCAAAGATTTTAGTGCGTTTGGAAAATTTCTGGGATATTTTATTTCAGCTCATGAAACATGGGACCAACACTTTACATGTTGCTTTATATTTTTGTTCAGTATATAAGGAAATAAATAATGAAGTACAACTCTGGAAAGATGGTAGTTGCAGGCTCATGTGTATCAGAACAGAGAGAGGGAAAGAGATGATAAAAAGTGAATCTCATTCTGGTTCTGTGAGAGATTGTATACAGGCACGCTTCTCTCTAGCACCACAGCAACTACCACGAGTTGGTCTCTAGGCTATAATGTTGCATAAATCATAAACCTGGGCTGGCCCAACCCGAATCAATTATTAGAATATCTGAAAATCTACATTTTCACATTAGTATACGTTTTTTTAGGGGGCAGGAGAATTACAGAGGAGGCAACTCGAATTAACTCTCATTGCTTTTATTCAAATGTTCACATTGCAAATGATGTTTCATGCCACGAGAGGTACCGGATCCTGGCAAATAGGTCCTGGAATGAAACAATCCAAAACTGAGAGGTGCCGGATCCTGTTCTGGCAGGATCTGGCTCAAATGAAGCACTGGCCATACTTCTCCCTTGTTATAATGCACACTGTGTACAACATTATAGAAAATAGTTCTGTGATAACTACTGAAAGGTGGGGTTCTATACAAGTATGCCGATGGGTAAAGTCTGTGTATTACAGTGCAATAGCACAACAACAAGGGAGTGCATCATGTGATCACGTCACACTGAAAGCCAAGGTAAGGTTCCATACAAGGCTCTGATGAAGGCGATTCATGCCGAAGCTTAACCCTATTGTTTGTTAGTCCCATCAATAAATCTATCAGATTTACCCAGCAGCAGAGTGCTCCTTTTTCTTTATTCTCCTGGATAGTCACCAGTTAAAGTATCCTGGTGTAAGGAATGTTTTTGGATGGTTCCATACAAGTTTGCCAATGAGTGCAGTTGGAGATGCCCTCCAGTCAACTTACCCTAACCCTAGGAGAGGCGATGTGAGGCCCTCCAGTATAGTTAACCTAACCCTAACCCTAGGAGAGGCGATGTGCTGGTGTCTACCCCAGGCTCGTACCATATCTGAGTGGGGGGACCCAGGTCTCCCTCTCTCCTTCACCAATGGTTCCTCTCTCATCTCAGTCTAGCATTATGAAGGCCTGACCCCTGTCACAGGCTGATAAATTAGACACAAATGGAAGCCTGCACTGTCTGATTCTGCTGTATTTACTCTGGGGTGCTCCATTGTTACAGGGTCATCTCATTTCATTTTAAACCAGGGAAAAAAGGATGATGATGAAATGAAAATAGCACTTTCATTCGTTCGAGAGCAAAAGTGTCAAGGTTCGCTCTCTTGCGCTCCTCCATCCCTGTGCTCACTCCACAGTTCCCATTCTGAGAGTAAATGAGAACATGGTCCACCCCCCAGCAATGCTCCTATTGATATTTGGTAGAGGCTGGAATCTCCCTGGTTTAGATAGAATCTTCAAACTAGTGTTATTATTAAGCTCTCATTCCAAACCTAGCATCCTGATTCCCCACGCTAGTGTTCCTATTTAGGCTGGAATCTATTCTGGTTAATCTCAACATAATGTTCACTCCAAACTTCAAGTTTGTATAGCACCCTTAAAATATCATTATAATTCAGGAATAAAATAAAACAGACGGTCTCATTTGTCTTCCATAAAATGAATTGTAACATTGTGTAGTTAAATATTAATAACTTACTCACCTCTGAGTTCAAGCATTTCAAGAACCAACACCAGATCAGCCAAGCATACTTCAACATTGAAATATGAAATAGATCATGAATACCCCTGAAATATATATGTCAATATGACTCAGGGCTTCGCCTCTGTTAATTAATTGTGTTTCTATACCGGTAGACTTATAATTCATAGCAGAGATTGATATGACTGATAAACACTGCTCTGATTGTGTTTTAAAATACTCACAATATGTCTTCATGACATTTGAATGTGTCTTTCACGAATGTGTCAACAAACATGCTTTAAGGTTATGCTGTGTAGGATGTAGCTACAGCTCACTCATAATCATTCCAATTTGCTTTGCTCAAATGTATCACTTAGCAGAATGATTATATAATGTTGTTAGTTTGCCTTGAACTTTGGGTTCGTTAGGACTGTTGCTATGGACATGACATTGTCACTTTTGTTGTGTTGGCAGTGCACCAAGTGTTGTTCCACTAAAGCCTGCACTCTAGTGCTACTCAGAAACAAACACTTCAAGATGACTGATACAGTCTCATTTAGTTTTGTTTATTAGGATATCACAGGAGAGATGATGAAAATGAAAAGACAGAATATCACAGAATCAGAATTTTTTGACAACATTGTCAAGATCTCATTTGTTACTTTTGTATCACAGCAACAGCATATAGCCCTAACTATAGATACATTCATGCATCAAGATAATGACCAATACAGTTAAAATTGTGCTATTTCACAAGTGTGCAATCGATAGCCATAGCTGCATAGAAATATGAGGTAATTAAGCAGCTATTAAAGCAGCTATAACATAGTTCAGTTAGTTCAGCTTCAGCCCCAATTACTAAAATCACATCCAGGTATAACATGCTTGCTATAGACTAACCATTTCGTCATAAAGTATATCTAAGTGCAATATTCGCTATTATGTTTATTGAGCTCTGGTATGGTATGCCAGTACTCAGTTAGTTACTGACGTGAAACGTTTCATTCCTGGCTCTACCCAAACATGGCAACCGCTCACTGGGCACACACACCATTTCAATGTCTAATTTTGATTTACATTTGGTTGAGTTGTCAACTAACGTGAATTCAAGGTGAAATAAACACAAAATGTCACAATGTCATTGGATTTAGGTTCAAATTTGGGTGAAAAAAATACAGAATTCCCTTACGTTGATGACTTTTTGCAAATCTAACCAGTTTTCATGTTGATTCAACGTGATCACATTTTTGTTGTTGAAATGACGTGGAAACAACATTGATTCAACCAGTTTGTGCCCAGAGGCGGGCGACTGGGGGCGCAGTAAACTCAAAGGGCACCTCTGAGCAGTGCCCTGCCATGCCAGGCAAAGCTTGGGCATCATGCTGGCAACTGGCAACATTCACAGATAGATCAGGCATTAGTAGTCTGCTTTAAAGCTCATCATCAGTCTCTGCTAATCAGGCCTCTGAGAGAGAGGATCTCTTAATGTGCTACATTCATTACACTCAGACAGACATAGTAAATGATCTCTGTCTTTCTGTCTCTGTCTGTACTGCACACTAATTAATATGAATTTCTCCGGCTGGCACTGCTCGAAGTCGAGTGCCTCTCGCAAAGGGCCTTTTCCTCTGGAAATGAAGCCACATTGAGAACAGAACACACTGTGACGTCTGAGATCCCATCATGCATGTGGCCTCTCTCCATGCCTCCAATAGACACATAGTAAACTATGGAGTTATTTCATGAAAGGCTTTCCAATCTTGATGTGCCTGAGAAATGATGATCAGCTGCAGTTACTAGCTAAGCCTCTCTAAGACAGTGAAACGCTCTCAACATGACTGGCACCTCTTTTAACACCAGACAGGAGAAATCCCAAAGATAAAGATTCCGCCCCTAATTGAACAAAGCAGTTACTTTCCCTTTGTGGTGAATCCTGCAAATTAGCATGTGTTGTCAGTGATGTTTATCCATGTTGTTTAGTTAAAGCAATGGATGGAGCTATGTTGTTCCAGCAGTGATCTTAACCCTCCTCTCAGTCTCTCTCTCTCTAGACGGTTCTGGTGGAGGTGGTGTTCATGGGGATGTCCTTGCTGCTCTTCCTTGGGCGCTGTGTTGACTTAACCACATCACCATTAACACTCTCTTCATTCTTGCGGAAGCAGTAGACCCCATAGAGGCGGAACTTAAAGTCAGGGAAGCCCAAGTGGCGGACCCCCGGTTGGGGCCCTCCGCAGCGGGTACGTGGGTTGACGATGGGGTAGCGGATGCTGGCGTCCTCCAGCCAGCCAGCCTCACAGCGGTCCAGCAGCTGGATCTTCCAGGCAGCATAGAGCTGGCCCACCTTGGCCACCACGGAGCCGTCACGCACGCAAGCCTTCACTGCTTCAACATAATTCACCTTCTTAAAGCGCTTCAGGAAATACACCTTACCTGGAGGAGGGGAGAGGGGGGAGAGAAGAGAAGTGTGTGTGTGTGTATGAGAGAGAGAGAGAGAGAGAGAGAGAGAGATGAGAGAGAGGAGAGAGAGAGATAGAGAGAGACCAGAGGGAGAGAGTGATGCGAGCGAGAGTCGAGGCAGAGATGGTGAGAGAGACGAGGAGCAGAGAGAATCGATCTGGAGCGAGCGTGAGAGAGAGAGAGACGAGAGAGAGAGAGATCGATCAGCGTGGATGAGCAGAGGGTAGAGATAGAGAATGTAAGTGGGAGGAGGGAGAAGAAAGAGAGAGAAGGGATGAGAGAGAACACATGAGATAACAGGCAGAGCAGAACCGAGAGGGGATAGATTCTGAGGTATAGGGCAGAAACAAGTCTGATGCCTGCGCGGAGAATGAGTCCGAATCTCAAGAAACAAAACATCCGTCTGGGCAGCGAAAGAGAGAAGCATGAGCGGCGGGGACAAGGGGCTCTACGCAAGAGGAGAGAGACAGTGAAGACAGGGGAAGGACTTGGAGAAGAGAGATAGAAGATGTGACAGGGAGCAAGGGAAGTGAGATGAGGGAGCGGAAGAGAGAGAGAGAGAGAGAGAGGAGAGAGAGGAGGAGAAGAGAGAGAGATGAGAGGAGAGGAGATGAGAGCACGAGAGAGAGAGCGCATGAGAGGAGAGACGAGAGAGATGATGGAGAGAGGAAGAGAGGAGAAGAGAGTTGACGAGGGAGAGAGAGAGAGATGAGAGAGAGTGAGAGAGAGGAGAGGAAGAGACTGGAGGAGAGAGAGAGAGAGAGAGAGAGAGAGGGATGAGATGGGTGAGACAGAGGGTGAGATAGAGAAATTGTCAGGGGTGTGCGGGAAAGAAAGAGAGAAGGAGATAGAGAGAGAACCCACATGAGCCGTTTCAAAATCGAACAGCATGCAGCGGCGGTGGACAGCGCTCTCGCTCAAAATTACTGTAAAATACTTCAATTTCTAATTTCATCTTGTTCTGGGAAGACTTCTCGCCAGAAGCATTTACAGTTATGGGATCATGATTGTAGAAAGTGTTAGCACTGAAATGAAGCCTCGTGAAGTTTTTACAGAGAGGAATGAACAAGCTAACCTAGAAAACATAGGGTCGTTTTCTACCACAGAACGGTTGCCAGCAGCCTTGCACTTGGCTATCGATTTTCCGTTTGTTTATATGGCTGCTGCCTGTTAGGGAGTAATATTGTCTTATATTTCCCCAAGGGCTACTGGGTAAATATCTTCCAGCTGGTCAGTGCAACAGTATCACCCACCATCGCTCCTGAAGATAGCCCACATTTCAGGCCTGACTGTCTGTTTGAATGTAATTAACTCACTGGGGAGGCAATGAAGAGACTGTTAGGTCTCCACTATGAAGTACCAGGTTAAAGTTCGACTACGGCTAGTGTGTTGTCTCTCTTCTCTAGTTCAGATAGTTCAGATTCTTGGCAAAAAGGACTGTTTTGCTTTAATATTCAAGAAAGAATATCATTACTTTTGTTCCTTCTCAGGAGAAGAAAAATAAAATAAAATCTATTTGTTATTTCTTCAGCGATTGAGTCACAATCTCAGCGGCTGTACCCATAAATCATGTTTCTCCAAATGTTATGTTTTATATCCCCCGGTAACAGATGGATCATTCTGTCATGACGAGTTCTAGTACAGTAGAGCAGCAGCATTGCCCCCAAACTGTCACGGTTTCGGCCGAGGCTGCTCCTCCTCTTTGTTAGGAGGTTATTTACGCACTGTTTTGTGCGCCTTTTGGTTTTCGCCTGTGTGCGGACTTTCTCGCCTCCGGGCGTTTGACTCGTGAATTTGAGTGTGCTGTTCACTAAAGTCTATTGGACTTATCTTTCTGCGTCCTGCATCTGATTCCTGCACCACACCCACCTACAGCACCCACTGACAGAATAACACACCATTATGGAATCAGCAGGATCGGCTGTGTCGCTCGAGGAGCATATCCATTGGCAGGAGGGCCAGATAAGACAACTGGAGACCGCTCTACAGGACGTGATCAACACCCTGCACCGATGGGAAGCCAGCAGGGTACCCACACCTCCACCTACCCTGTCCACCCCATCGGCCGGTCCACCAGCCCCAGGTCCGGAACCCAGGAGGATTCGGCTCTCGCTCCCGAGGGCGTATGACGGAACAGCTGCCGGGTGTCAGGGGTTCCTCCTGCAGGTGGAGCTCTACCTGGCCACTGTACACCCGGTGCCCTCAGGACACGAGAGCGTTTCCACCCTCATCTCCTGTCTCTCGGGAAAGGCGTTGGAGTGGGCTAACGCTGAGTGGAGGAAGATGGACGCCAACACCATCTCCTACGCAGAGTTCTCCCGCCGCTTCAAGGCCGTGTTTGACCATCCACTTGAGGGCAAAGCGGCGGGGGAGCGGCTAGTCCACTTGAGACAGGGGAGGAGGAGCGCACAGGCGTTTGCTTTAGAGTACCGGACTCTAGCGGCGGATGCAGGGTGGAATGAACGGGCTCTCATTGACCATTTTCGGTGTAGCCTCCGGGAGGACGTTCAACGAGAGTTGGCCTGCAGGGATACCCATCTGACTTTCGACCAGTTGGTTGATATGTCCATCCGTTTAGACACCCTGCTGGCCACCCGTGGACGTCCCGAGGGGGGTCCGTCCATTACGCCCTCCGGCACCTCCGAGCCGAGCCCTATGGAGCTCGGGGGGTGCCGGCGCTAGAGAACGGAGTAGGAGGAGCCCGAGGGGGCCTGTCTCCTGCACCAAGTGCGGTCGTGGAGGGCACACTGCGGCCAGGTGCTGGGGAGGGTTCTCCGGGGGAGAAGACAACAGGCCACGCACTGGGGGGGCCTCCCAGGTGAGTAGACGCCCCACCTACCCAGAGCTTTCTGTTGCGCACTTTTGTATACCTGTTGGTTTTCCACAGGTTGCACCTCATTCCCAGCATAAGGCGCTAGTAGATTCAGGCGCAGCTGGGAATTTTGTTGATCGAAAGTTTTGTTTAGAGTTAGGGATCCCTCTCCTACCCGTTGACAAACCTTTTCCCGTTCATGCCTTAGATAGCCGTCCGTTGGGGTCGGGGTTGATCAGGGAAGTCACAGCGCCACTTAGGATGTGTGCGCAGGGGGGTCATGAAGAGACTATACAGCTGTATCTGATCGACTCTCCTGCGTACCCAGTGGTGCTGGGGATTCTCTGGTTAAGCACCCATAACCCTGCTATTTCGTGGCAACAGAGGGCTCTCGATGGGTGGTCTGCTCAGTGTGAGGGGCGATGTCTGGGTGTTTCCGTGGGGGCGACGTCGGTGGAAAGTCCAAACCAAGTGCCCGCATTGCACATTCCGCCTGAATATGGGGATTTAGCTCTTGTGTTTAGCAAAACTAGGGCGACGCAGTTGCCTCCCCATAGACAGGGGGATTGTGCGATTGATCTCCAGGCAGGAGCAGCGCTCCCACGGAGCCATGTGTATCCTTTGTCTCAAGAGGAGAGAAAAGCTATGAAGACCTACATAGCCGAATCTTTGAGACAGGGATACATTCGGCCTTCCACTTCCCCCGCCTCTTCGAGTTTCTTTTTTGTGAAAAAGAAAGATGGAGGGTTGCGCCTGTGCATTGATTACCGTGGTCTCAATCAGATTACTGTGAAATACAGTTATCCACTCCCTCTGATTGCGACCATGACGGAGTCATTGCATGGGGCGCGGTTTTTCACAAAATTGGATCTCAGGAGCGCGTATAACTTGGTGCGCATTAGGGAGGGCGATGAATGGAAACAGCGTTTAGTACCACGTCAGGTCATTTCGAATATCTTGTCATGCCATATGGGTTGATGAATGCTCCATCAGTCTTTCAATCCTTCGTAGATGACATTTTCCGGGATATGCAGGGACAAGGGGTGGTCGTGTACATTGATGATATTCTGGTGTACTCGTCTACCCGAGCCGAGCATGTAACCCTGGTGCGACGTGTATTGAGGAGGCTGTTGGAGCACGACCTATATGTCAAGGCAGAGAAATGTCTGTTTTTCCAGGAATCTGTCTCCTTTTTGGGTTATCGGTTGTCCGCGTCAGGGGTGAGTATGGAGGTGGATCGTGTGTCCGCTGTGCGTAATTGGCAAACTCCAACCACTGTAAAAGAGGTGCAGCAGTTCTTGGGCTTTGCGAATTACTACCGGAGGTTTATCCGGGGTTTTGGACAGGTGGCAGCTCCCATCACGTCCCTTCTGAAAGGGGGTCCGGTGCGCCTGCAGTGGTCAGCTGATGCGGACAGGGCCTTTGGGAGACTGAAGGACCTGTTTACGTCGGCTCCGGTGCTGGCGCATCCGGATCCCACAATTCCCTTTCAGGTTGAGGTGGACGCGTCTGAGGCTGGTATAGGGGCCGTGCTCTCTCAAAGGTCCGGCTCGCCACCTAAACTCCGCCCCTGTGCTTTTTACTCCAAAAAGCTCAGCCCGGCGGAGCGTAACTATGACGTTGGGGACAGGGAGCTGTTAGCTGTAGTTCAGGCCCTTAAGGTGTGGAGGCATTGGCTTGAGGGGGCTCAACACCCTTTCCTCATTTTGACTGACCATCGGAACCTGGAGTACATCCGGGCAGCGAGGAGACTGAACCCTCGCCAGGCTCGATGGAGTATGTTTCTCACCAGGTTCGTATTTAAAATCACGTACATCCCTGGGTCCCAGAATGGCAAGGCAGATGCACTGTCCCGGCGGTATGACACAGAGGAGAGGTCCGTTGAGCCTACTCCCATACTACCGGAGTCTTGCCTTGTGGCACCGGTGGTGTGGGAGGTCGATGCCGAGATCGAGCGAGCGTTGCGTACCGACCCCAGCCCTCCACAATGTCCTGAGGGTCGGAGGTACGTTCCGCTCGAGATTCGGGATCGACTCATCTACTGGGCTCACACGTCACCCTCCTCAGGACATCCGGGTATTGGCCGGACAGTGCATTGCCTTAGCACTAAATACTGGTGGCCTACTTTGGCTAGGGATGTGAGGGTTTACGTCTCCTCCTGCTCGGTGTGCGCCCAGTGTAAGGCGCCCCGACATCTGCCCAGGGGTAAGTTACAGCCCCTACCCGTTCCACAACGACCATGGTCCCACCTCTCGGTGGATTTTGTAACAGACCTTCCCCTCTCTCAGGGGAATACCACCATCCTGGTCGTTGTGGACCGGTTCTCTAAGGCCTGTCGTCTTCTCCCTATGTCGGGTCTTCCTACTGCCCTACAGACCGCTGAGGCCCTATTTACCCACGTCTTCCGGCATTACGGGGTCCCCGAGGATATAGTGTCTGATCGAGGCCCCCAGTTTACCTCCCGTGTGTGGAGAGCGTTTATGGAGCGTTTGGGGGGTCTCGGTTAGCCTTACCTCGGGGTACCACCCGGAGAGTAACTGGCAGGTGGAACGTGTCAACCAGGATGTGGGTAGGTTTCTGAGGTCGTATTGCCAGGACCGGCCTGAGGAGTGGGCGCGTTACATTCCCTGGGCCGAGATGGCCCAGAACTCTCTCCGCCACTCCTCTACTAACCTAACCCCTTTTCAATGTGTATTAGGTTACCAGCCAGTTCTGGCACCGTGGCAGCAGAGCCAGATCGAGGCCCCTGTGGTGGATGATTGGATGAGGCGCTCGGAAGAGACGTGGAACGCTGCCCACGTCCACCTGCAGCGGGCCGTCCTTCGTCACAAGGCGAGCGCCGATCTCCACCGCAGTGAGGGGCCGGTGTACGCACCCGGAGATCGAGTCTGGCTCTCTACCAGAAACCTGCCCCTCCGCCTGCCCTGCCGGAAGCTGGGTCGGCGGTTTGTGGGGCCCTTTAAAGTCCTGAGAAGATTGAACGAGGTGTGTTATAGGTTACATCTACCTGTTGAATATAAGAATATTAACCCCTCGTTCCATGTGTCTCTTCTCAGGCCGGTGGTAGCTGGTCCACTCCAGGACAATGAGATAGGAGAGACTCCTCCACCCCCATTGGACATCGAGGGGGCTCCGGCGTACACCGTTCGGTCCATCTTGGACTCCAGACGCCGGATGGGGGGTCTCCAGTATCTCGTGGAGTGGGAGGGGTACGGCCCGGAGGAGCGGTGCTGGGTGCCGCGGAGGGACATCCTAGACCATCTCTCCTGTCGGAGTTCCACCGGGACCATCCCGCGCGCCCTGCTCCGCGTCCTCCTGGTCGTCCCCGAGGCCGGGGTCGGCGCACGGCTGGAGCCGCGCGTCAAGGGGGGGGTACTGTCACGGTTTCGGCCGAGGCTGCTCCTCCTCCTGGTTCGGGCAGGCTTCGGCGGTCGTCGTCTCCGGAGTACTAGCTGCCACCGATCTATGTTTCATGTTCGTTTGGTTTGGTCTTGATGTTGTACACCTGTGTCTAGTTAGTCCTCGTTAGTGTTCTATTTAGTTCTCGTTGTGTGTGTCTGTGTTTGTGTGTTATTGTTTCGCTGTCGTGTTTTGTGCGCTACTGTTTGCCTTGTGCATTTCGTATTTTCCTCCTCTGTGTTAGGAGGTTATTTACGCACTGTTTTGTGCGCCTTTTGGTTTTCGCCTGTGTGCGGACTTTCTCGCCTCCGGGCGTTTGACTCGTGAATTTGAGTGTGCTGTTCACTAAAGTCTATTGGACTTATCTTTCTGCGTCCTGCATCTGATTCCTGCACCACACCCACCTACAGCACCCACTGACACAAACGTTGCCTTCTGGCTATCTAATAGATATTTTTATATATTTATTTTATTTTACCTTTATTTAACTAGGCAAGTCAGTTAAGAACAAATTCTTATTTACAATGACGGCCTACACCGGCCAAACCCGGACAATGTTGGGCCAATTGTGCGCCGCCCTATGGGACTCCCAATCACGGCCGGTTGTGATACAGCCTGGAATCAAACCAGGAGGTCTGTAGTGACACCTCAAGCACTGAGATGCAGTGCCTTAGACCACTGCGCCACTCGGGAGCCCATCTGAATCCTAGAACCAAGATATGCCTCTCACCCTGCCACAGCTGTGTGGAACTATGGACGTAAATCAAATGGAGTGGAGATAAAAACGGAGCCAGAAGACACTGTGGCCCTTTTAAGAGAGCAGGATCAACACAGGGACTGATCCAAATCCAATGGCCTCGGGCCTAGGGGATCACGGTGCAGAGATCAGAGACATGCCCCTCTTCCCCCTGTGGGCTCTCTGGCTGCATCGCAATACACCTCGCCTAGTCTCCTTACCTTCATCTGCACAGACCTGAAAATACTGTATAGTCAGAGCAGAGGCAATATGGTGGAAAGATATCTTGGGAACCTACCCGTCACCTATCAATGTTCTCATCTCTCATCTGTTCAAGGAAAGAAAGCAAGGAAAGGAGCCCCCACACTCACCATTGAGGTTGGAGGTGAAACAGAAGGCGTCATAGCGCTCATCCTCTTTGTGTCTGTAGCCATAGTTGCGTACCCCTGAGGGGGTGTCCTTGCGGCCACACTGGTCCCGGGGGTGGGAGATGGGGTACTGGACGGAGCCGTCCTCCAGCCAGCCAGCGTTGCACCAGTCCAGTCCCTCCATCCAGGCCTTGTGGAGCTGGGCATGAGAGGCCAGGATGGCATCCTGCTCCTTACACACGTCTTCAGCTTGGTGGTAGTTGAGCTTGTAGCGCCCCACCCGGGGGTAGTAGGGGAATACTACACCTGAGGGAAAGAGAGAGAGGGAGAGATACTGATCTATGAGGACAAGTTCTACTAAGCTAGCATATGGAATTTTTTTAAGATGGTCAAACCATGGATCATTATCTATTTTTATTTTGAATTTCAGGACCCCTTTAGGCATAAAAAATATATATTATAACAATATTTGATAGAATATTGAATTTGGCCTTTACTACTATAGCCCACAGAAACGCATTAAATAACACATTCATAAATGGCAAAAATGACAGTCCAAAAAAAGGAATAAGGTTTTGAAGTGTCTGTTCTATATCTAGGAGATGTAAGAAAGCTCAGGAAATATCTTTGTTTTTTGGACTCATATTTAACCCCTTATTTTTGTTGGCACAAAACTACCTCCATACTTTCATTCGTTTGTATGGGTTACCTTTATACGAGTCCCGTGACCTTCAGTGGAATCAGAGTGGTCATATTCATTTGTAGGCCAAACCGTTCGGACGCTACAGACTTTTTTGTGAGAAGACCCAATTTGTGGAAGGCCAACATAGGTGGATGCGGTGGATTGAGATGCAGCCCATGCAAGAAAGATATCTCTAGCTTAAACTGACGGATTTTAATAGGGATCTTTTTATTATGTTACTTAGATTGACACATGGGTGCATCAATAGACTCTTAAGGATTAACATTACATGGGAAATATAATGTTTAGAATGAGCATTATGATACATTTACATGACACTTCAAAAACCTATGGCAGCCATGTTAGTGGCCCATTAATATTACATGGGTTTTGAATAGATGGTATACAGCTACGGACAGATGTGACTTTTCGTTAGGAGAACTTACGCAGCAGGTTAGGATAATTAACGTAGCAGGTTAGGAGAAATTGATTAAAGTTAGGAAAAGGGTTAGGGTTAGATTTAGCTAAAATGATCTCCTAACCTGCTACGAAAAGTAACTTATGTCCGTAGCTGTATACCATCTAGCCACAACCCATTACATGGGGAATATTTAAGTTTTATTAGTTGAATGTACAGGATACTGTCACGACTTCTTCCGAAGCTGCCTCCCCTCCTTGTTCGGGCAGGCTTCAGCGTTCGTCGTCACCGGCCTTCTAGCCACTGCCGCTCCATATCTCATCATTCCATTTGTCTTGTCTTGTCAATTACACACACCTGGTTCATATTCCCCTCATTAGTACATGTATAAGTGTTCTCTCTGCCCCCTTGTCCTTGTGGGTGATTGTTTCATGTGAGATGAGTGTAGCTCGGTGGAGCGACCTGTACTTTGTATTGCCGGGGTATATTTTCCCTGTGTGCCTGTATTTGTTCCAGTGCGCCTGTTTTGCGCACTGGACTGTTGATGCTATCCAGCGTAACTGTTTATTACGGAATAAACTCCGTATTCTGTGATTTACCCTCCTGCGTCTGACTCCTTCAAATCACACTCTCACAGATACACATGATATACTCCGTCCAACGAAATGCTTACTTGCAGGTTCCTTCTCGACAATACAACAACAATAAGAACTAATAAAAGATAAGAATACGAACATGAAGTAAATGGCTCAGTAGAACATAATTAATATTTTAGCATAAGTATAATACAGGAAGGCACCATTTATAGTCCAATATTTACACGTGTTTTGGGGAAGGGGGGATTGGGGGCAAGTGTTTAAATTGTGCAGTATTTAGCAATCATAATAAGAGTCTGGTAGCAGCAGTTGTGTGAGAGAGAGAGCAAGAGAGAGAGGGGGTGGGGGAGTGAAAGGGGTGAGACAGCGGGTGAGAAAGAGAAATTGTCAGGGGTGTGAGGGAAGAAAGAGAGAAGGAGATAACAGCAGCAGACACCCTTAGGGGAGAACAGTCTGTGTGTGCTAAGGTGGCTTGTAGATAGAAACTGTCTCTGAGCCTGTTGGGAAGGAGGTGACCAGCTCGTGGCTGGGGTGTTCGGAAACCTGGTAAATAATGCTATGTAACTGTATGTCTAGAATTAGAACAATAATTACTATTCTAAAAGTTGGCCCAACTCTCTAAATACATGGCTTTGAACCCATCTAACCCTTAACCCTTCAACCTTAACCTCTGACCTTCAAGATCGAGGTTGACGAATCCAGTATCGTCCTCCATGTCGTTGGTGACCTCACACTCGTAGCGTCCGTAGTCCTCCAGGGTGACGTTGTGGATGATGACCGAGGCGTCCCCTGGTCCGTTCTGCTCCAGGGACACACGCCCCCGGTACGACCCGAACACCCTCTGCTGGAGGCCCAGTGCCACAAACACATCCTCAAACACCAGCGCATCCGTCACCTTGGTCCACTTGATGCGGATGCGGTTGGGGTCGGAGCTCTCGGGTTCGTGGTGGTAGCGGCAGGGCAGGGTAATGGAGCCTCCCCGGTGGGTGATCACTTTACCGGGGGCGGTCTGAACAATCACTGCCCCGGTGTCATCCTCTGGACGCAGAGAGGGGGAGTAGAGGAACAGGAATGGTCAGGACAGGCAAGGTTGTGGGGGACTTACAGTATGTTTATCAATGATCTGATGCACCAGTACTTTACTTTTAAAAGGAGGATTTTCTCATGGTGTGATGATCTACAGTATATAGGGACATTATTACTGTTAAAGTTATGGGAACCACCCAAACTTTAGTTATAAGGTCAGGATGGTGAAAGTGTATATAATTAGATAGTTTGTTGTTTCGCCAGTGAGGGCCAATGGGCTGAGGAGACATGTGTCACCTAAGAGATCTGTGTTTCATCATCAGCACCAGGTCCCAGCATGCTTTGTTCTGTGTCACTGGCACTGCCTATTACATCATAGTTCTTTTGAGGCCAGCTGAATCCCCAAGGCCTTGGCTCTGTTTCATTCCAGAAAGTGTTCCACTCCCCACACCTACACCCGTGTTCACTCCACTTCGCAAATCTAATAGGACTGGAAATCAATATGACGCGTAGGCGGAGCTATAACTTACATCTACCCAGTTGTCTCAGATTTGTGAGGGGTAGTGAATGAGAGCAGTGGGTAGGAGACAACTTTATTTGAAATGGAATGTACATGTAGCTCTGGTTTGCGTCATTGGCAGCCAGGCCGTCTCCTAGGCTTTGTGAGAGTGCTGCTCTTCTCTGAGAGTTACTGAGCAACACAGCTGAGAGTCTGCTTATTGTGAACAGATCACAAAGCCTACAATTAGCCATGACAGCTGGTTATAGTGACCGTGAGCTGGGAACTCTGCGCTCAGAAATGTTTGTAACCGACCGCTGAGCTTTGAGACCTGTTTACAGAATACATCATAACATAAATCTAGGTTGGGATTTCAGGCGTGAGGAGAGATGTATCCAGGTGGAGGCATATTGTATATAACATAATCATAATAACATTATAATTAAGAAGGACAGGTGATGATAACAAGGTGATATTGTAGCTGGTTGCCAGTACAACATCAGCAAGTTCCCAATCAGGCTGAACACAGCTTCCTCACAGCTTTGAAAGAGACTGTTCTAAGAGTCCAAATCAACAGCATCTGCTTGAATATGAAGCGGATGGAATTTAGCAACATTTTACTGATAATATGACTCCTACCTCATTTTATATGAAACAGGAATTCAATTTTCTACAGTTGACTGCCAATAATACTGGAGGAGAGATACAGTTTGGCAACTCACTTATATTGAAACCCAGACAGCTGCTCTTTTATACTTCCCTTAGAATGTAAAAAAGCAATCTCATTACAGTGATGCAATATGTGTGGGATGGGGAAAGAGACAGAGGTAGAGATCGTACCGAGTACATGAACAACTTTCCTCCTTCCCTTATCAGCATCAGTAGGGAGGGAGGTCGCATAGAGGCCAAAGATTAGGACCAAGCAGGTCACTGTCCCCAGGGACAGGGTCTGTGAGCAGATCTGCAAGGGAGGCAGGGAGGGACACATCAGTGAAGTTCCAGTTAAGGGATACCCAATGGTGCTGCTAGCCATTCCAAAGCTCCAATATGGCTAGCCTATAAACAAATCAAATGAAAGTTTGTTGGTCATGTACACAGTTTAGCAGTGTTATAGCCGGTGCAGCAAAATTATTATGTTACTAACGCCTAACAATGCAGTAAAATGTCAATCAAGTACACAAAAAAAGAAAGAAATCAAGAAATCAAGAAATGTCAGAACGAATCTAATTAGCAACCCAAATAGCACTGTAACAGTAATCCAAATGCAATCTATACGTGTATACACTGGAAGAATTTACATAAGATATACTAAGAATGATATGTACAGCAGTATATTAGAGTGAGCTATGTCAATAATTCAGTATATAAATAAATAAGCGGTGTATATAAAAAGTGTAAGTAAAATGCAATGTACAATAGTAGAAATATTAGAATGAGCTATGTTGAGAATACAGTATTTAAATACACAGTACAAAACCCCATGACCAGTCCTGAATATATAAAGCTATGGTAGACAGCATCTAAAGGCTTAAGAGTAGTGGCTGCTGCATTCCGATAAATGGTGTCACCATAGTCAAGAACTGCCAGGGAAGTTGACTATACAATCTTCTTCCTGCTGTTTAGGGAGAGGCATGATCTATTTCTACACTGAACAAACATATAAATGCAACAAGCAACAATTTCAAAGATTCTACTGAGTAACAGTTCATAAGGAAATCAGTCAATTGAAATAAATGCATTAGGCCCTAATCTATGGATTTCACATAACTGGGAATACAGATATGCATATTTTGGTCACAGATACCTTTAAAAAAGTAGGGGTGTGGATCAGAAAACCAGTCAGTATCTGGTGTGGTCACCATTTGCCTCATGCATCATGACACATCTCCTTCGCATAGAGTTGATCAGATTGTTGATTGTGGCATGTGGAATGTTGTCCCAGTCCTCTTCAATAGCTGTGCGAAATTGCTCAATATTGGCGGGAACTGGAACACGCTGTCAATCCAGAGCATCCCAAACATGCTCAATGGGTGGTGACATGTCTGGTGAGTATGCAGGCCACGGAAAAACTTGGACATTTTCAGCTTCCAGGAATTGTGTACAGATATTTGCAACATGGGGCAGTGCATTATCATGCTGAAACATGAGGTGATGGTGGGTGGATGAACGGCACGACAATGGGCCTCAGGATCTCGTCACGGTATCTCTGTGCATTCAAATTGCCATCGATAAAATGCAATTGTGTTCGTTGTCCGTAGCTTATGCCTGCCCATACCATAACCCCACCGCCATCATGGGGCACTCTTCATAACATTGACATCAGCAAACTGCTCACCCACACGACGCCTTGCACGTGGTCTGTGGTTGTGAGACCGGTTGGACGTACTGCCGCATTCTCTAAAACGACGTTGGAGGCGGCTTATGGTAGAGAAATTAACATTAAATTATCTGGCAAAAGCTCAGGTGGACATTCCTGCAGTCAGCATGCCAATTGCACGCTCCCACAAAACTTGAGACATCTGTAGCATTGTGTTGTGTGACAAAACTGCACATTTTAGAGTGGCCTTTTATTGTCCCCAACACAAGGTGCACCTGTGTAATGATCATACTGTTTAATCAGCTTCTTGATATGCCACACTTGTCAGGTGGATGGATTATCTTGGCAAAGGAGAATGTGCACAGAATTTGACAGAAATAAGCTTTTTGTGCATATGGAAAATGTCAGGGATCTTTTATTTCACTCATGAAACATGGGACCAACACTTTACATGCATTTATATTTTTGTTCAGTGTAAATATACAGTATGTGTATGTGAATGGTGTGTATAGACAGCATGTGAATAGAAAAGGTGTGTACAGCAGTAGTTATATAGGATGAGCCATGACTAGAATACAGTATACTGTATATATAAAGTGGGTAAAACAGTATGTAAACATGATTAAAGTGATTAGTGTTCAATGACGCTATGTATATAGGGCAGCAGTCTCTAAGGTGCAGGGTAGCGTACCGGATGGTAACCGGCTAGTGACAGTGTCTAAGGTGCAGGGCAGGGTACTGGATGGAGGCCGGCTAGTGATGACTGTTTAACATTCTGATGGCCTGGATATAGAAGCTGTTTATCATTCTCTTGTCCCAGCTTTGATGCACCTGTACTGTCTTTGCTTTCTAGATGGTAGCGGGGTGGACAGGCCGTAGCTCGGGTGGCTGTCCTTGATCTTATTGGCCTTCCTGTGACACCGGGTGCTGTAGGTGTCCTGGAGGGCAGGCAGTGTGCCCCCGATGATAAGTTGGGCTGACCGCACCACCCTCTGGAGAGCCCTGCGGTTGCGGGTGTTGAAGTTGCCGTACCAGGCGATCATACAGCCCGACAGAATGCTCTCTGCATCTGTAGAAGTTAGTGAGGTCTTAGGGTCCAAGAGGAATTTCTTCAACATCCTGAGGTTGATGAGGTGCTGTTGAGCATTCTTCACCACGCTGTCGGTGTGAAGGGAGTCAAGGGACCATTTCAGGTCCTCGGTAATGTGCACGCAGAGGAACTTGAAGCTTTTGACCCTCTCCACTACGGCCCCCATCGATGTGGATGGGGGCGTGCTCTCTGCTGTCTCCTGTAGTCCACCCAGAGCATATGAGCGGAGTGGAGCGGGAGCGAGCGTGGAGCGTGAGCGGACGGATTTTGAACAGAGCGCAGAGCGGCATTTTTAAAAGGACGGAGCGTCGCCCTATGTCCCGCTCCAATTTCGCTCGCTCACACCACGAGTCTGAAGCATGCTCAAGCCTGACCCAGAATCCATCTGTTTAATTTAATTTGTGTCGTCCATGAATTTGTATTTTATAGAGCGAGAGGAGCAGCAGCAGCAACAAGAGAAAAGGGTTGAGCAATTGAAACGTTTATTCACTGCACGCAAAGGCCCAACCATAACAAGGGAGAGAAAAAGAGAGCTGGATGTAGCATTTTTTGAAATGATTTTCATGGACTATGAACCGCTGAGTAAAGGAGAACGCGAAGGGATGCAACACTTCGCCAGCGCAGCTCAACCGGGCTACACCCCCCCCAAGAAACTATGATAAATCAGTACTTTACTTTGTCAAATTTACATCTGAGATGCCCCATTCACATGCTTCAGCTGGCGATCAAAAACGCCGTTAACAAGCACGACAACATTAATAGGCTGTTAGTGAAAGTTGGGCACCTGGTGAAAAGTGTACGCAAGAGCACAGAGGAAACCGACCAATTAGGTGTCCGCCCCACAAATGCCTGCGCCATTCGATGGAGCAGCCAGCTGCGGATGATTCAGTCGTTCATCCGGTTGTTCCAAAAAGACCCGTTATGGTAAAACAAACTCAAGTCTAATGTTGCTAACATCACCCTGAATCAAGTACGGCAGCTGACGCACCTTGTCAGTGTGCTGACACCACTAGCAGACCTCACAGACAAAATGCAGAAGGAGCTGGGGAACCTGGGGATGATCCTCCCTGCTGTCACAGAAATCAAATCCCTGCTCACCGATTACACTCACGCTGCACTTCCAATGGGCATTGCTGCTTTTGCAGAAACATTGGCAAACAACGTGTCAATTCGCTATGGAATATACTATACTGATTAACATCTCATTTTAGCGTCAGTGTTAGATCCCCGTTTCAAGACAGAATGGATCATCCGAGATGAGTCTGTATGCAACAAATTCGGGGAGATAAAGTAAGGCTGTGGTTTAAGCTAAAAGTGAAATACATGCAGATTTTGTTCCTTTTTTGGAGTGAGCGGGGGCGATTTGAGTGGAGCGCGATGCAAACTGCGTTGAGCGCTGAGCGATAATGAGCGGGCTGGCCTGATGTGGCTTTGAGCGGGGGGAGCGGAGGGGTGAACAGCTCCGTGAGCGAGGAGCTGAGATTCTCACCGCTCCACTCCGCTCATATGCTCTGAGTCCACCATCAGCTTCTTTGTTTTGTTGACGTTGAGGGAGAGGTTATTTTCCTGGCACCACTACGCCATCCATCGCATCTTGTTTAGGGTATGTGTGGCTCAGTTGGTAGAGCATGGCGCTTGCAACGCCAGGGTTGTGGGTTTGATTCCCATGGGGGACCAGTACAAAAATGTATGCAATCACTCTGGATAAGAGTGTCTGCTAAATTGGTATGACTATGACATCAGCTGCTACATCATGCAGTGGTAAGAGAGTGCAGTTCACCATGTGATGGGAATGGGGCCTCTAAAGTTAGCTCACTTTGCACTAGGCTATGTTAGAACCCCATAAGAAAGGATGAGTAGCTGTAGCTGCTCAATAAAGTTCTTCAGAAATGGTATCACACAGGGACCTTATTCTAAAATGGATTATATATATTTTTCAGCAATCTACACACAATACCCCATAATGATAAAGCGAAAACTGGTTTTTAGAAATGTTTGCTAATTTATTAAAATAAAAAAACAGAAATACCTTATTTACGTAAGTATTCAGACCCTTTGCTATGAGACTCGAAATTGAGCTCAAGTGCATCCTGTTTCCATTGATCATCCTTGAGTAGTTTCTACAACTTGATTGGAGTCCACCTGTGGTATATTACATTGATTGTACATGATTTGGAAATATAAGGTCTATATATAAGGTCTATATAAGGTCCCACAGTTGACAGTGCATGTTAGAGCAAAAACCAAGCCATGAGGTCGAAGGAATTGTCTGTAGAGCACCGAGACAGGATTGTGTCGAGGCACAGATCGGGGGAAGGGTATCAAAAAATGTCTGCAGCATTGAAGGTCCCCAAAAACACAGTGGCCTCCATCATTCTTAAATGGAAGAAGTTTGGAACCACCAAGACTCTTCCTAGAGCTGGCCGCCTGGCCAAACTGAGCAATCGGGGGGAGGAGGGCCTTGGTCAGGGAGGTGACCAAGAACCCTATGGTCACTCTGACAGAGCTCTAGAGTTCCTCTGTGGAGATGAGAGAACCTTCCAGAAGGAGAACCATCTCTGCAGCACTCCACCAATCAGGCCTTTATGGTAGAGTGGCCAGACGGAAGCCACTCCTCAGTAAAAGGCACATGAAAGCCCGCTTGGAGTTTGCCAAAAGGCACCTAAAGACTCTCAGACCATGAGAAGATTCGCTGGTCTGACGAAACCAAGATTGAACTCTTTGGCCTGAATGCCAAGCGTCACGTCTGGAGGAAACCTGGCACCATCCCTATGGTGAAGAATGGTGGTGGCAGCATCATGCTGTGGGGATGTTTTTCAGCGGCAGGGACTGGGAGACTAGTCAGGACCGAGGGGAAGATGAACGGAGCAAAGTATAGAGAGATCCTTGATGAAAACCTGCTCAGAGCGCTCAGGACCTCAGACTGGGGCGAAGGTTCACTTTCCAACAGGACAACGACCCTAAGCACACAGCCAAGACAACGCAGGAGTGGCTTTGGAACAAGTCTCTGAATGACCTTAAGTGGCCCAGCCAGAGCCCGGACTTGAACACGATCGAACATCTCTGGAGAGACCTGAAAATAGCTGTGCAGCGACGCTCCCCATCCAACCTGACAGAGCTTGAGAGGATCTGCAGAGAAGAATGGGAGAAACTCCCCAAATACAGGTGTGCCAAAATTGTAGCGTCATACCCAAGAAGACTCAAGGCTGTAATCGTTGCCAAAGGTGTTTCAACAAAGTACTGAGTAAAGGGTCTGAATACTTATGTAAATGTTATATTTCCGTTTTGTTTTTTTATAAATTAGCAAAAAATTCAAAACCTTGTTTTTGCTTCACCATTAAGGGGTATTGTGTATAGATTGGTGAGGGGGGGAAACGATTTAATCAATTTTAGAATAAGGCTGTAACGTAATAAAATGTGGAAAAAGTCAAGGGGTCTGAATACTTTCCGAATGCACTGTAGGTTAAAGTGCAACTTCAGTGTACACCTATATGGAGACAACACAATGGGCACAGATGTCAGTTCAACATTTAGATTTGATTTACATTTGCTTGAGTTGTTAACTAACGTGAGTGAATTCAATGTGAAATCAACCAATATGTAAATCTGTCATTGGATTTAGGTTAAAAGTTGGGTGAAAAAAAAATACGAAATTCCCTTAAGTTGATGACTTTTTGGTTTCCATGTTGATTCAACATAGATTTTTTGGGGTTGAAATTACGTGGAAACAACGTTGATTCAACCAGGTTTTGCCCAGTGGGAATGTCAAAGAGAGCTCCCCCATATGTTTAGGCCATGGTCCTGTAGCTCAGTTGGTAGAGCATGGCGCTTGCAACGCCAGGGTTGTTGGTTCGTTTCCCACGGGGGGCCAGTATGAAAAATCTATGCACTTACTAAACTGTAAGTCGCTCTGGATAAGAGCGTCTGATAAATGACTAAAATGTTTAGATGTAAAAAATAAAAAATAAAAATAAAGGGTTGTTATTGCAGCAAAGTTCCTTTACAGACAACTCTGCAATATTATACATTTTAATCGCCTATAGCCTATAACAGGAACATGGAAACATGCTGCTGACCACATTGTAACAAATAACCTGACCACATTGTAAACAAAAAACCCTACGCCATACTCCTCGATCCTCTCCTCCTCATCTGCGCTGTACTGCACTAGGCTACTGTAGCACATCTTCAAGGTTATTGTACATAAATATCCCATGCAGTAAGAAAAAAGACCGCAATGTGCGCAGACACAGAGCCAACCCATCCCACCACATTAGAGGACTTACCATTATCTCTTCAAGAATACTGTGTCTGTCTGAAGTTAGATAGACCGTATGTCGTTTGCTCCAGCTGGGCTGTCATTGATATGGTGCAGTACTTGACTCATAGCTCTATCCTGCAGTTAGCCTGCCGTGTCCTGCCCTATTGCTGTTTGATTTTGGGAATGCAGGGGAACTGCTGACTCTGGGCAGGACTGGGCTAGTTGGGCTGTCCCGCAGTTCACAAATGTTCAGTATAATGTGAATCACTATAAGAGCGCACCAGAATGTATAAGTCAGCGAAAGTAACAGGTAACAATTGAACTGCTACATTGTTGCATTTGCTGTTACAGTGCATGATGATAAGTTGTGCCAGTAGGAAGGCTACAATGTCTCAGTTCACGCAGTAAACCTCATTAAACTAGTAGTAGCACTGCTTGTTATCCACAAAAGCAAACATTGTGCATGTCATAATGTAGCTAGGCTAAATGTAGCCTAATGTTAATAGCAAATTCAACCGTACACTAAACACAAGACACAAGTATTTTTTATTTCAGTGTGGATTTGTGTGCATGTATTTATTATAGCCTATAATTTACAGCAGTACTAGTAGGCTACCAAACACTGAACACTGCTGGGGACTAAAATACTGAAATACACTTATGATCATGACGGGACTGCGCGAAGCACACTGGGGAATTAGCTCAAACGGTAGAGCGCGCGCTTAGCATGCAAGAGGTAGCGGGCTCGATGGCCGCATTCTCCAATTTTATTGGCTCATACGTTTCAAGAGAGTATTTTAGAAAGGGAGTCATCAATTATACTGTTACGATTGTGCTCCTTTTAACTATAAAAGCATTGATGAGAATGAGTACAACATTTCTGGAGTCAGGATCATGCCAAATTACATTATAGGAATTGCTTTTGATTGTCATGTAACATTTTATTTCTGTCAGGTGTCAGTAGGAGACCATATAGAGTCCAGTTTAAATAATCTGACCATCATGTCCTCTGTCCTCTTCACACCCACTAATATTGATACAGACCCAGCAAAGTGTGAATTGCTATGTTGCAGTGTTCAGCCTCTCTTTCTCTACCTTTGAGCTAAAGGCAGACCGCAACTCTCCTGGGGTTTCAGGCTGCACAGCTGAGCAGACATCTGCACGTATTCCCAGTGGCTCCTCTGAATAGATGGAGCTGTTGTGATAGGGGCCGGATTTGATTTAGGTCTGTCACACAGAGTGCATGTGCAAGCAGGCCATTTGTTTTCATTGCCATACATCAGCATGTGAAAGCTGCTGAGGGAGAATTAATTAGATGATCCTGTGTGTGGTTGGTGTGTGTGTGTGTGTGTGTGTGTGTGTGTGTGTGTGTGTCACTCAAATGAGAGGCCACTCAGTTATTAAAGAGATGGAGGTGAAGAGTGTGTTTACAGCACTTTCTGTTTTTATAACACATTATCACTGTGTTGAATATTGATGTTTCACAACCTCTCTGCAGCAAGGGAACATCCATTGTAAGACACAAATCTAATGTAACAGGGAGGATATCCATTATGATTTATTATGCTCCTGAAAAGGGAGTTTGTGTTTTGAGAGAACATGGCTTTTTCTATATGGTTTCATGTTATCATCCACCATGAATATATACTGTATGTAAATATAATTACATTAATGTTTAAGAATGTTGACAGTGATAGATGTCCTTTGAATCTACAGCCAAACATCAAAATATGTTATACATTTGATAGAGACAATATGAATTAACTGCAAGACTTTTCGCCCTTGGTTTCAAGTTGAATGTGATATGAACTGTCATTCCTTCTCTGTTGTGTTGAGTGTTTGTGTGTCCAAAAAAATAAATGGCAATCCACCTGGGCTTCATTTGAGATCTTTTTATATCAGAAGAGCAATGGGAAGGAAAGGACAACGTTTACTGGGCCACCCGCACAGAGAATAGATAGAACATAATGACATCACTTAGGGAGAGAAGAGAGGGAGGGGCAAACCTGGTCCCAGAGGTTTATAGCATTAGCCATGATTACAAGTAACTATATAGTCAGATAGTCATGATAAAAATGATAAAACACATACACATACAGATCTGGGATCAGCCTAGTGAGGAGAGCTAGAGTCATGAAGGCACTGCCACAGAGGATAAATAAAATGACAAACAAACAGCCGTCTGGTATACCTAGCCTGAGAGAGTGACTTTTTTTCCAAAGGGCAGGCAGGCAGACACGGCAGCCCTGTAATGATCTGTGTTCCACTAGGGTTGAGTGATGAGGACTCATGTTGAATGAGATGTACGTCCACAACAACACATCCTGACTGGTGTGCCAATCAGCCCCTGCTTATGAAAAGTAGCAGCTGATAAATGAACACCACTCAGACGCTTGTTCTCACTGGGGGGGGGAATGAAAGCCCTCCCCTTCTTTCTCTCTCCCTGTTGTTTAAATTTGATCTTGCCCGATTGAAATGAAATGCGTCTAAGGATGAATTGACTGGAGTGAGTTATTTTGGAGGGATTTCTCAGTACCGGTACCTGGCTGCCGCATTTGTTTCTAATTAAAAGGGGAGAAAATGATTTGGTTGTCAACACCTCCGTGTTTGTATAAACTAAAGCAGGGCTCACCAACCCTGTTCATGGAGAACTACCCTCCTGTAGGTTTTTGCTCCAACCCCAGTTGTAACTAACCTGATTCAGCGGATCAACCAGCTAATTAGTAGAATCGGGTGCGCTTGATTAGGGTTGGAGTGAAAAGCTACAGGATGGTAGCGCTCCAGGAACAGGGTTGGAGAGCCCTGAACTAAAGGCTGCGGGGAAAGTGGAGTGTGTTTGTGTCTCACTCTGACTCTGCAGTATAGTTCAATGGAGGGTCCCGGTCTAAGAGAACATGATGTCCTGTATGATACACTTACCTACTTACTTACTCCTCTAAATCCCCTATGGGACTTGTTACAGAAACGAGTTAATAGATTAGAAGTCAATTCTGTAAACTTATTGGCATATCTTTATTGGTAACTTTATTGGTATGTAAACTTTAATTGTGTTTCTTCTCGACCAGGGTATCAGCATCAGGAACCCAGGGCATCCCCTCCATCCCAGGCAGTTTAGTGACGGTCAAGAAGAAGTTGGTGTTGCTGGTGCAGCGCATGGCGATGAGCGAGGGGATCACAGCGTACAGTAGGTTGGCTGCCAGGACAGCCAGGAAGGCCTCGTCTGGGATCCGGAATGGGGCCACTGTACGTGGGTGGAGGGATGCCCCAATGTGGGCCCACTGACACTGTGGAGGGGAGAGGAAGGAGGGGGGAAAGTTTGGGGTCATTCCAAACAGGAGGACACTATGTACAGTATATTCACAGCTGACCGGTAATTTGATTTTCACGTTTTGAGGGTTATCCGTAGTTGTTTTTTCCCCCCACAAAGGCCTTGATTGAATAGCTTTAAACCTAATATGTTGCTTCACTTTGAGCCTCTGCAACAGTCATTAGTATCTACAGCCAACGATGTGCAGTACAACACAGCTCGACCTCAGAGAGAAGACTCTGGTGCGCTGCTCTGAGCAGAAGATGCAGCTATCCCAGATCCATTTCACAGGAATCTTTTTATTAGTCCCCTGTAGCTCAGTTGGTAGCGCATGGCGCTTGCAACGCCAGGGTTGTGGGTTCGATTCCCACGGGGGACCAGTATGAAAATGTATGCACTCACTAACTGTAAGTCGCTCTGGATAAGAGCGTCTGCTAAATGACTAAAATGTATTAGAAGAGCTGAATCTCCGAGGCAGGCCTTGCCCCATGTTGGGAGGGATAGAAGGGCCTGCAGACGAGTCTATGCAGAACTGGCCTTTGATCTTTGCCTCCATTAGTCCAGTATGGAAAGGAAATTGATTACAGGAAGCAGGCCTCTGCAGGATGGGGCTGATTGGATATTATTATGAACACTGACGCCATGAAGAGGTCTTATTAAGGTTGGCTATAATAAAAAATTTCAATGAGAACTTGCGATAGAGGTAGTAGCCCAGGGAGCTATACTTTCACTAACTCCAAGTGCAATGTGTACAGTTTGAACTTTCAGTGCCCCATATACTGTAAAGTGATTCAACCTCTTCATCTGTTCAAGTCATCACTAGTATGACTAGTAATAGCAGTATGTAGAAGCTCTGTACGTAGAGCACATTACATTCTGGGAACTGTAGTCTATGTTATTAACAAAAAACAACACATATGTCCCCCATATCTTACCTGGGCGATGCCTCCAGCAACGAACACGGTCCAGTCAGGCATCCAGGTGCAGCCAGGCACTATGAGTCCGTAGACAAAGGCACCCAGCATTGGCAGCATGTAGAACAGGAAGTGCAACATCTACAAAATGTAAATGTACAACAGGTATAACATCAAAGGATTCCATCACAGTAGTGACTCCAGCCGGCCAGCCCCACCACGCAACTCTGACACTCTAATGGTCAATTAATACAGTACATCTTCATCCTCTCTAGGGCGCTAACACGTTACAGCAGTCCAAGCACTCACACAGAATACAGATAACGCTGCTGCGTGCTGGCTGCATAGACAACACACTCTCACGCATGCACGTACACAAACACACACATTTGAAGTGCTTTCACACCGCACACTCAGGTCCAAATTATAGTGTCCAGATACAGAGGTCATTACATCGACCCTCACAAGCACTTGCAGAATATTTGGAGCATGAAAGTCAGGTAGCTGCTGACTTTGTAATGTAATGGCATCAAATTATGCCTTTGAACAGTGGCTTTTGTTCTAGAGCTGTGGTCCTGATGAATCCTAATGAATTGAGCCCAGAGGCTGAGAACCAATCACACGTTGCCCTTCAGTCCTTGGAGGAGTGTCTTTGTGTTCGGCACCCCGGTCATCTGTCTGCCGTGGTTTATCACCATCAATGATTAAAAAGGTTGGTCAGCATAAGAGCAGCGCAACGACATTCAACCCCCCCCCCCCCCCCCCCCTCCACACACACACACACACATACACATACACATACACACTCAACACACACATATATACACCCGTATTGACACACACAGGGATTTACACACACATGCTAGCTAGAGCACACCAACATGCAAGCACATGCACACACAAACACACACACACACACCCCTCCCACCCGGTGTGTTGCTGATGGGGGGGCTCAGGGGAAGGAGGATTATCTTATCAAGTTCTCAGCATGCAGTTCCCTGCCTGATCGATGCTTCGCCATTGTGCCTGGACTGGAGCCACAACAAGGTCTTTGGATAACCTATTGACTCGGCTAAGAACCCTAACAAAACCAAACAAACATCACCCAACAGACGGAGAAAGCCCAGGCGTTGAGACTGGACCAGTCACAACCACATTCTCTTGCCTAACAAATGTGAGAGAATGAACCAGCCTGGCCTCTCACCCCTCTCATTGTGGCGTAATGATGAAAAATGGCTCTGTAATCTCTTTTGTGAGCTCCAAGTGATTTCTGAATGGAGTGGCTATTATTTGGTTATTTAAAACAAAGTGGGTTGGAGACTATTAAGGAATGCCACTGGCACTGCAGAGAGGCATGCTCTGTGTCTTAAAGTACCCACCATAACCTTGGGGTAGCCCACCGGGTCCTTCAGATAGGGCTCGTACTGGCGGAGGTAGATGGTACAGGCCTCTAGAGGGGAGTCAAGAGCTACCTGAATGCACACACAGGAGGAAGGTTCCAACATGATCATCTTGTAGGCAAGAGCACTGTATAAACTACTTGTCTGTATGATCAGTTATTGTAATATAAACCATGTCTGGTCCATGGGGGACGTGAACGAGAACAAGTAGGTACTGGATGAAAATCACATTAAAAAACAATGCAAGTTAAATAAGTATGTGCATATTTCCACAAATCAGACCATCTTGAATGTTCTATTTGCCAGGGAAGTGTGTCAGATGAGACCACCCATATCACATGATTGAATCAGCGCAGCAGATGTTGCACATAATCTATGTATTATAAACAAATCCTTTACTGCTGTACAAAGACAGCTAGCACATGAGGGAATCAATTCTATATGCATTGACTCTTTAGGCTGTGCTAAAATTGGTGGGCTGGACCAGTCCTAATATAATAACACTTTATTTCGGATGTTTTATTTTATTTCCAATATTTCTGAGTGTTTATTTCTAAGTGTGTATTCAGGCCCTGCTGGCTCACCAAGCCCCTGAAGAGAGTGAAGGCCATGGCCCCCAGTAGCAGCAGCACCAGGAGAAGGTCAGAAGGGCGCCAGATGAGATTAAAACTCTGATCATAGTGGGCCTAGGAGACACCAACACCAGGGGAGAAGAAGCTTCTTTAGACAGTTCAGATGCACTCAAACATAGCAATAAATACACACTTCTGCAAGGATATTGTAGAAATATAACATAACTAAGGCCTTAGTTCTGAGCCCTAGTTTTCCTGGTCAGGTCACATGGTCAGGGAAAACCCCTGGCCCTACGCATTCCACCAGGTCAATCAGCTGTTCCCTGTTCCATCTTACCTTGTACCCACCGAGGGTTGGCCCATTCTTGGGCTTGTTGAACAGCTTGATCGCACCCCATATTGGAAGCATTAGGAAGGGCATGTTGAGCCAGAAGGCGGGACGGATATCTGATCCAAATTTACCTGCCAGGGAGGGAAACATAGAGAGCATTTCATCCCCTAGAACTATGAGGAGGAACTGGGTACATCTGAAGTAGAGTAGAGCAGTCTAATTTTAACCTTGTTAAAGTCGACACATTTCCATGAGGTTTACATGATAAATAGATGAGATCTCTGCCAAAAAAAGGAGACCATAACTTTGAGCCTCTTTTCTTTTTATACACACCTTGTAATTAACTTCAATAATGTTCTAAATAAATCCTCAGTAGGGCATCATTGAACAAATATACAACTAAAATACAAAATGATGTAATACTGATACTACTGTTTGAAACTCAGAGAACAGATGCTTAGAGCCTAGTTTTGCTTTGTTCTGTAAATTCTAAAGGCAAGCACATGTGTTGTGTTGGCAGCCTACACTATGACACTGATTCTACAAGGCTGTTCAGATGTACTGTTGATTAACTCTGCCATTGTGGGATACAGGAGGGGGGAAGGAGAGACTCACCTACAACAATTCCTGTCACAAAGACACTCATGTTGGCAAACAACGATCCAGCCCAGAAGAGACCCAGGGTGCGGTAAGACTTGCTGAGAGACGGAAATAAAATGGTCAAAAGATGTTGCTCCCATCACTGTACACTAGTGACAGCATGTCTTACAAAGCTTCAAATCAATGGCCCAGCAGTGAGACGATGAGATGATGTGTGGACGTAAATGTGGTCACACTAGGATCTTGCATGTGTCAGATTCTGAGGTATGAAGTCTCGGCTCTCCTGGTGAAGGGGACTATAAGGTACAATACAATACAATACGATACTTGCTTCATTGGTCCGGTTATTGGTCCAGGTATGAATGAAGTGTATCAGAATCCTAGTATATGTGTGGTGTGTAGATCACCATTACAAGACCAAGGTGACACAGCGAATATCACCCACCTGTTCCATAAGCGCTGTATCATTATGAGGTACATGATGAAATGCACTATTCCGTCCCAGTAGCACATCATGATGGCATAGGCTGTACCCAGATAGGGCTCTCCCTGAAACACACAAATACAACCATTAACTTAAAATGGTTGAAACAACAGATAGATTCTAACGTTTAAAAAAATATATTATTAGCATGATGTTAGGTCATGAGATGGAGAATCTAGAGACTAACCGTTTTCTGGTAGAATTCCATAAACCCAGAAATAAAGCCATCATGTTCCATAGCACTCACAAGGTCAATGACACAAGTGAAGGAAAACTCAGCAAATACTGTAAAGACAATGCAAACATTCAGTACTGTGGCAGACTGATATTGTGAAAGTGGACAATAATAAGCAGTTAGCAATACAGTACTATAGAATGCACGTCACAGGGGTTATTTCATGTAAGCGCCTCAATTACACAACAAAAAATTACTTGGATTAATGTGTGGCTATTGTTCTGTTCAACTTTCTTTGGTGCGATTAGCATACACTGATTGCATTTGTGAGCATATTTCAGCTCTGTAAGAAAGGCCCTCATTCAATTAGTTGCGGAATTCAGCTCAATAGAAATCTGTAGCAGCTAGATGTTAAGCAGCTCTGCTGTAGGAACAATCATCATTCTTCTCATTGTAGTTATGATAAAGAGAAAGCTCCTTCCTCCAATCTTTATTACTCAATCAGCTTAGTCTGCCTCTTTGAAACTTTTAATAAAACTGTCAGAACCCTATTACTGCCTATAAAGATGCATTGAACAAGACTGGATTCTTGAGAAACTCAACCTCTTTTTCTCCCATGAACTATTACCTAACCACCACAACTCATTTTCTTTCACACTCACTCTCTCTCACCATCTCTCTATGTTTAAAATATTTCCCTCCAACCAACCAGCTATTGATTTCCTGGGCTATGGAGGGAGATACTGCATAGCTGTAGGCTGGGTGAAGGGAGATTTATATTGGGAGCTGTGTGTTGAGTTTTCCTCGGGTTAAGAGCAGAGCGGCGCTGAGAGGGCACCCCTCTCCTCTCTCCAAGTCAAAACCTGGCTGGAACCCCATGTGCGTCTGAGAGCCACATAATGAGTGGCAGGGGATCAAGAGGACTGGAGATAGGCAAGGAGCGAATCCCAGTTCAAGTGGCTGGTAATGTGCTGCCAATAGACATGTTGGTTCTCCACATCAATATCCACACTCTTTAGGGACCGCCCACGGTCAGCCAGTAGCCATTACTACCATTTTTGGTTGATTTCACATTGAATTCACGTTAGATGACAACTCAACCAAATGTAAACCAAAATTAGACGTTGAAATGACGTCTGTGCCCCGTGGGTGCCTGCTTATTTTCAAGCCTGGTGGTGGCTGCATCATGGTATGGGTTTTTTATTTAACCTTTATTTTATCAGGAAGTCATACTGAGACCAGGGTCTCTTTTACAAATGAGCCCTGAATTACATAAATTACAGAAAAAACACACGTCAAAATATAAATACAAAATGCAAGCAAAAAGAAAAACACGGTCATAAACAACAAACACATTAATCAGTAATAAAGTCCTCAAGGTATGCTTGACATCAGGAAAGACTGAGGAGTTTTTCAGGACAAAAAGAAACCGGATGGAGCTAAGCACAGGCAAAATCCTAAAGGAAAACCTGCTTCAGTCTGCTTTACACCAGACACTGGGAGAGGAATTCACCTTTCAGCAGGTCAATAACCTACAACACAAGGCCAAATCTATACTAAAGTTGCTTACCAAGAAGACAGTGAATGTTCCTGAGTGGCCAAGTTACAGTTTTGACTTAAATCTGCTAGACAGTCTATGGCAAGACTTGAAAATTGCTGTTTAGCTACGATTACCAACACCTTGACAGAGCTTGAACAATTTAGAAAAGAATAATGGATAAATATTGCACTTAGAGACTTACCCAAGAAGACTCACAGCTGTAATTGCTGCCAGAAAAGTTTCTAACATGTCTTGACTCAGGGGGGTGAATACCTATCTTATCAAGGTATATTAGTGTTTTATTTTTCATTAATCTTGACATTAAAAAAATGATTTTTTTCTTCCACGTGGACAAAAAATGACAATTAAATCAATTTTAATCCCACTTTGTAACACAATAAAATTAGAAGAAATCCAAGGTGGGGAATACTTATGATACCCACTGTGTATAGAGTTCTGTGAACTCATGTTTTCTTGAAATGGGATAGGGCGTCCAATCCAAGTATTAGCTGTAATACAAGGCTTGGCTGTCCCGTATATCGTCAAACGTCCTTGCAATGGCACCTGTGTGTAACGGCTCAGACAGCCATCCTGCATCCCTCACTATCTCCCTGACGTTGCTGCTGCTGTCTCCTGATAAACGCACCGATAGAGACACACACACTCCGTCTCTCTCCAGGTACCTGTGGCCTTCTAATCCTCTGGAGGGTCTGGTTTATCTGAGCCGTCTAACAGGTAAGATAGGAGGATTATCATTCTCTATCACAGCAGGAAGCCATTCTCAGCTCTGGGCTGTTCCCCCTCCCCAGAATCACCTGATGAGGCGCAATGGCATGGCATAGCCACGGGGCATCCGGGAGATAGGCTTACACACAGGTGGTTAGGAAAGAGCCTATGGCAGGATATACAGTTGAAGTCGGAAGTTTACATACACTTAGGTTGGAGTAATTAAAACTCGTTTTTCAACCACTCCACATATTTCTTGTTAACAAACTATAGTTTTGGCAAGTCGGTTAGGACATCTACTTTGTGCATGACACAAGTAATTTTTCAGATTATTTCACTTATAATTCACTGTATCACAATTCCAGTGGGTCAGAAGTTTACATACACTAAGTTGACGGTGCCTTTAAACAGCTTGGAAAATTCCAGATAATAATGTCATGGCTTTAGAAGCTTCTGATAGGCTAATTGACATAATTTGAGTCAATTGGAGGTGTACTTGTGGATGTATTTCAAGGCCTACCTTCAAACTCAGTGCCTCTTTGCTTGACATCATGGGAAAATCAAAACAAATCAGCCAAGACCTCAGAAAGACAATTGTAGACCTCCACAAGTCTGGTTCATCCTTGGGAGCAATTTCCAAACGCCTGAAGGTACCACGTTCATCTGTCCAAACAATAGTACGCAAGTATAAACACCATGGGACCACGCAGCCATCATACCACTCAGGAAGGGGACGAGTTCTGTCTCCTAGAGATTAACGTACTTTGGTGCGAAAAGTGCAAATCAATCCCAGAACAACAGCAAAGGACCTTGTGAAGATGCTGGAGGAATCAGGTACAAAAGTATCTATATCCACAGTAAAACGAGTCCTATATCGACATAACCTGAAAGGCCGCTCAGCAAGGAAGAAGCCACTGCTCATAAACCGCCATAAAAAAGCCAGACTACAGTTTGCAACTGCACATGGGAACAAAGATCGTACTTTTTGGAGAAATGTCCTCTGGTCTGATGAAACAAAAATAGAACTGTTTGGCCATAATGACCATCGTTATGTTTGGAGGAAAAAGGGGGTGCTTGCAAGCCGAAGAATACCATCCCAACCGTGAAGCACAGGGGTGGCAGCATCATGCTGTGGTGGTGCTTTGCTGCAGGAGGGACTGGTGCACTTCACAAAATAGATGACATCATGAGGAAGGAAAATTATGTGGATATATTGAAGCAACATCTCAAGACATCAGTCAGGAAGTTAAAGCTTGGTCGCAAATGGGTCTTCCAAATGGACAATGACCCCAAGCATACTTCCAAAGTTGTGGCAAAATGGCTTAAGGACAACAAAGTCAAGGTATTGGAGTGGTCATCACAAAGCCCTGACCTCAATCCTATACAAAATTTGTGGGCAGAACTGAAAGAGCGTGTGCGAGCAAGGAGGACTACAAACCTGACTCAGTTACACCAGCTCTGTCAGGAGGAATGGGCCAAAATTCACCCAACTTATTGTGGGAAGCTTGTGGAAGGCTACCCGAAACGTTTGACCCAAGTTAAACCATTTAAAGGCAATGCTACCAAATACTAATTGAGTGTATGTAAACTTCTGACCCACTGGGAATGTGATGAAAGAAATAAAAGCCTAAATAAATAATTCTCTCTACTATTATTCTGACATTTCACATTCTTAAAATAAAGTGGTAATCCTAACTTTACTAGTATTAAATGTCAGGAATTGTGAAAAACTGAGTTTAAATGTATTTGGCTAAGGTGTATGTAAACTTCCGACTTCAACTGTAGGTGACTGATATGACATCCCTTATAATGCCAGCCTGGAAGCCGATGTGTCAATCTATATGTTGTTTTTTGCCTTCTTATTTGGTAATGACGTGTCAACATTACTGCCCTGCATCCCATATGGAACAGTCATCCACGATCAGTAAGTTCAGTAAGTAGTAAGGTGTCTACTGTATGTATGTAGGGCATGTGAGTTCCCATGCCCTTAGGCTCATGTTCCAAGTGTTTCCAGCTCTCCTACAACTGTGGTGTTGTAAGAAGAAGACTAACATGCCCTCTGTCATCACCCATGCCATGTAAATGCCGGTCTGGGTTTCAGCTTTACTCTGATCCTGATCAGTATAAGCAGCTTTGTGGATAAATGAATGAAACAATGAAAACAATTCACATGACAGATAAGAACGTTCTGGAAATCTGTTAACTGGGGTTGGCCTTACATACATAGTGGTCATTCATGCTCTTTCTTAACCATGTTACCCAGAGGGGATCTGTTTAAATGTATTGGTGCTTTGTTAAGCGAATAAAAATAAGCAATGTTAAACTAGTTTTCATCCAAACAAAACAGCAAATGTCCCTTTGATCTGTCATCATCGTCATCATGAAAGAATGATCAATACCATACCATAGAAAAGGATGTCTTTGGGCGGGTTACGTCGGGTGATAAGGAAGTAGAAGAACCACACCACCACCAACACTGCAATACCAATCTGCAGTATCACAACAGGCCTGCAGGTAAGAATGACAACACACTGTTAGCTAGGGGACAAATCATTATATTTTTCAAATTCATAGTGCAACGTCTTAACTTCCCTGCACTATACTTTTTAAAGAGCAATCTCCCTCCGATTTTCTGCCTCATTCTCTTTTCTAATTAGTTTCCATCTAAGTTTGTGAGTCTCCTCTGCTGTACTAAATTAGTGAGCAGTGATGAATGGGGAGACAGAGGGAGCGATAATTATGCCAACACCCAGAGCACCAGGAGAAATGATGCCGAGATGGGAGGCCACATTATAGAAAGCGGATACACACAGACAGACAGACATATGGGGTTCACCGAGGGAAGGTGGGCTAGGCAGACGGGGCTGCTGCTGCTGTAGCGAGGGCCTGGAGACTCTGGGGGAATTGCTGCACGCTCTGTTTGGGTTCTAATCACGCTAAAGCCTTGGAGATAGGCAGCTAGCATTCTGCTGTTCTCCTATGAGAATTTGAGAATACGTGCTAATGTTAACGGCTACATGGGGCCGTATTGGACTGATAGTGCCAAAGGTCGCAGCATTCAGTGAGGACAAATGGCTGGCTTGCTGGTTTGATCTCCAGCCTTTAGTAGCCCACGTGACCAGGTCTATTTCATACTATTTCAACTGTTGTGTTGACCCAAGCTGTGAGGTCAACTGCTAAAGCCTGCTTTGATGCTCCAGCCTCTGGTCTTGTTTCAACAGAGCTACTTTGACTTGCTGATCCCTACCACCATGGGAATGGCAGATCACTAGTACAGGAAGCATGTTTCATGTAGATCTCCAATGGTTTCCCAGCAACAGCAGAGGTCATCACCACAATGACTCAATCAATCATGGCCTTAGCTGTAGGAGGCAACAGGATGGGGCATGTAAGATCACCACTCACCACCATAATTGGCAGTCAGAGTTCACAGGTACTGTGTTCAGAAAATATTAATGTGCTTTGGGGCATCTCTATGTAAACAAAATGACTTCCATCTCAAACGTACAATGTGTTCACGGGAGCCAAACAAATGCTGTGAAGCCAAAGGGAAGCTTCCTGGCTGCATCTCAATGCACCAGCACTGGAAACTGTATGCACACAATACTGTTTGTTTGCAAAGTTGAAGAACACATGTCAGCAGCAATTTATCAAACTCCTCTCGCAGCATGTAGGCCTATTGATTGAACGAGTTCCAGAGATTTCAGAGATTTCCGCTACGGAGGAGTATGGCAGTCGTCTTGAAATTAGAAATGTCTGCTGAGGAATGGAAGAATTGCTCGGGAGGAGTGGTGCAGACAGTCACCACTATCCTTCTGTAAGTTTAATGTACTTAGGCCTGCTGTGGCAGCCTGCTTATCTAAACACTGAAGAGAGCATAGCTTAACCCAATTGTCTGACAACACAGGTAGGCTGGGGATTGACAAAATATAGAAAATAGGAAAGATTTATGTTTTATCATCCAGAGAGGTGAGAGAAAGTCACTGTTTCAGGTGTCAAAGACATGTTCTTATATGTTCTCTCTGATTTCACAAGCCTCTTTTGACTTCCCCTTTAACTAATTATTTTTCACCCATCGTCATATAATCTGAATGTCATCATTACATGGGTTTTACACAGGCCATGGTATTACTTGTTTCCACATGATTAAAGATTTGTCAAGGATTTATGGGTCAGAAATCTGTATGTAAAACTCAACAACGTCAGTGGGGCCTATTCATATGAGCTGCTAGTGCCCTCAAGCGGTAGCAAAGAGTATTGAGCATACTTGCACCGTTCAACTGGATCTTTGAATATGTAGCCTAAATTCGAATGCTTGACTTCTCAATCAGTCTAGTACCTACTGGCCTAGTCGGCAAAATATTCTGTCAAAGTTCCACATACACTACAACTTGCGAATATGATTTTATTTAATATAAAAATGTAATTGAAGTTCCAAAACTCATTTGGCAAGACTGACCTTTGATTCATATCTCATGAGCTATTTTAATCTTGTTCATAAATGAACAAAAACAACGTTTTAAAGCTATTGATTAATTGAAGTCTACTAGCCTGAAAAAACAACAACATTTGTATAACTTTATGAATACATTTAAATGACCCAATTCTATAGGTAGACAATAGGACATTAAATAATTGACTTACTCTTGGAACTCTGGAATGGTGTTCATGCAGTGAAGGACCGCAAGGGCAGTCAAAGAAAACAAGAAAACCAATCTCTCCATCTCTTCAACTGCAGAGAAACAGCCAAAGGGTCCCTGGAGAATCACTAGCACGGACCACTGTAAAGAAAAACAAAAGTGGAATACCACTGCCATTTGAGCCAATGATCTGCTATGATCTAATAACTACTCTTGAGAAAGATCACATGAATAATTGAACCATTTGCCAAAAACATATCCACGCAATACTTTTAAAGTTTTCACAAAATAGACAGAATCTCAATACAAATTTTTAAAGAATACGGCCTCCACTAAATAGCAATCAATTCTTACCGTCTGGCCACTCTTTTGGCCCGTGAATTGTTGAAATTATGGTTGGCCTCGGGCAGACACAGCATATTTACAGGGAAATAATAACTAGGAGCTTTTGGGGCAAATTATGCAATTCGAGTTCTCAGAGATTTATATAAATCGCATTAGATGGGGTAATTCACGTGCCTCTTAACTCACATTCGTGTGTGTTAAGCAATGTGTGGCTAAGTCACATTCGTGTGTGTTAAGCAAATGTGTGGGTTTATGGTTTATACATTGAACTAGGTCTACTACATTAGGCCTACTCTCTATTTAGTTTGATCTAATTTGAGATGAACACATTAAAACCCTTTCCTGCAGTCAAATGACCAAATCGCCCTCTAGTGGCCTCATGTTGTGGAATATTATTAATATTTTTCATATTTTCATAATTAATCCACACAAAAACATGTTTTACTCCGAAAAGCCGGTTTCTATGTCAAACTGTTTTGTTATATTTCAGTCTTCTGTGATGTATATAAAGTGTAATATTGGGATGCAAACTCAAAATGTAATACATTTCAACTCTATATCTGACATGGTACAGGTGTCTTCTTTTTTTAAAGCCCATAACCATGTGTGAGGTGTATACTTTTGTTTCAAAGTACATTTGTTTAAGACTACCAAGAAACACTCTGTGTGGCCCTGATTTAGCCCACTGCAGTAATTAATAAACCACATCCAAATTATATATGTGTTTTTTGTACAAAATAATTTGCATGTCTTAAAGGAACGATTAACTGTGCCACTGCCAATTATCAATTGTTTTCCTAACAGACCTAATAGGGCATTACATGTGCTTGCGCTTTTTTTCCAGCAGAGTGCACCAAATTCAAAATTACAGTAGGCATACACCAAGCTGGAATTTTCAGTGTAGTTAATGGGCTGTGCTGCAATAATGCAAGATAGGTCATGTGTGGCACGACTAATTACAAACTAATCCAATATGGTAGGAAAATGTGTTATCTTGGTTATATTTGGTTTGTATCATTGCACTTCATAGATGGTTTGAATAGTTTAATGAATGGGAAAATATTTGTTCACACTGCACTGAGAGAAAGGTTATTGGTGTAATAAGGAAATCACAGCAGCAAGGGAACTTTGGCAGCTGTGAACAAGAAGAGGCAAATAAACACATACAATAACATGATAAATCTACACCGAGATGGATAGAGGACTCATCTTTGTATCTGTGCCATCATAGCATCTGTGACAGCATAACATCTGCGACAGCATGGGCAGTGCCATTGAGGCAATCTCCATTTTGAAGTAGTTCATTTTCTTCTTCACAATTGTCTGATCCCTCTTGATGACCCGGTTGGACATGACTGTGAAGTTGGAAGTCCCAACCAGTTGACCACATTAAAATGGTGGAAGCCCTCAATGGCGCTGCCCATGCTGATATGGCCTTTTGGCCAATAGAGGACTCTATCATTCTCTATGGTAGAGCTGTAGAAAGAACATAACAGTCAAATTTGGATTGTGATCTTCAGGAAATGTCATTGAACCTGGAAAAAGGTCTCTATAACTACATTTACATTTACATTTACGTCATTTAGCAGAGCGACTTACAAATTGGTGCATTCACCTTATGATAGCCAGTGGGACAACCACTTTACAATTAATTTTTTTATATTTTTCTAATTATTTATTTGTAGAGTATATTTTTAATGTTAATTTGTTTTATATATAGATTGTTGTTTTTTTATTGTTTTTTTATTTTGTAAAATGTGTATTGTTATTATTATTTATTTTTATTATTATTATTATTATTATTATTATTATTATTATTATTATTATTTTATTTTTTTGTGGGGGGTGGGGTATGGGGGGGACTACTCAATAACTATTCACTCTTGAGATGGAGACATGCATTGTTGATCTCTAAAAACACTATTCCAACACTATTCCCAGAAGTGAGACAAAATGTCCCTGTTCCATCCTGTTGTTATCAGTTTTGGATGACATTTTGTTTTGTTTGTAAAATACTTACTGGCATCTCCTTTATGTCCCACTCCAGGGCCACATTATTAGAATTGCTGAATTGCTGAGGCAAATACAAAGTAAGAGGTGATACACCTCTGTGCAGACAAAGCAATGCACCACCTTGTCTGTCCCTTTTTGTCTGAACGAACCTCACCATGTGCTTCATTCCGCCCCCTTTGTTGGAAAAGGGGACTGTTGTACCAGGAAGGCAGTGGCTGTGTTTACTGGAAATAATTTAACCTCTTCCAGTTGCATCATTCAATAACTCAGCAGGAAAGGATGGATGCCAAAATGACACACAGCTCCTCTGTTCACCGAAATACGCTTATTAGCTGACATTAATGGGAATACAGTGGCTTGCGAAATTATTCACCCCCCTTGGCATTTTTCCTATTTTGTTGCCTTACAACCTGGAATTAAAATTGATTTTTGGGGGGGGTTGTATCATTTGATTTACACAACATGCCTACCACTTTGAAGATGCAAAATATGTTTTATTGTGAAACAAACAAGAAATAAGAAAAAAAAACAGAAAACTTGAGCGTGCATAACTATTCACCCCCTCAAAGTCAATACTTTGTAGAGCCACCTTTTGCAGCAATTACAGCTGCAAGTCTCTTGGGGTATGTCTCTATAAGCTTGGCACATCTAGCCACTGGGATTTTTGCCCATTCTTCAAGGCAGAACTGCTCCAGCTCCTTCAAGTTGGATGGGTTCCGCTGGTGTACAGCAATCTTTTAGTCATACCACAGATTCTCAATTGGATTGAGGTCTGGGCTTTGACTAGGCCATTCCAAGACATTTAAATGTTTCCACTTAAACCACTCAAGTGATGCTTTAGCAGTATGCTTAGGGTCATTGTCCTGCTGGAAGGTGAACCTCCGTCCCAGTCTCAAATCTCTGGAAGACTGAAACAGGTTTCCCAAAAAATGTCCCTGTATTTAGCACCATCCACCATTCCTTCAATTCTGACCAGTTTCCCAGTCCCTGCTGATGAAAAACATCCCCACAGCATGATGCTGCTGCCACCACCATGCTTCACTGTGGGGATGGTGTTCTCGGGGTGATGAGAGGTGTTGGGTTTGCGCCAGACATAGCGTTTTCCTTGATGCCCAAAAAGCTCAATTTTAGTCTCCTCTGACCAAAGAACCTTCTTCCATATGTTTGGGAAGTCTCCCACATGCCTTTTGGCGAACACCAAACGTGTTTGCTTATTTGTTTCTTTAAGCAATGGCTTTTTTCTGGCCACTCTTCCGTAAAGCCCAGCTCTGTGGAGTGTACGGCTTAAAGTGGTCCGATGGACAGATACTCCAATCTCCGCTGTGGAGCTTTGCAGCTCCTTCAGGGTTATCTTTGGTCTCCTTGTTGCCTCTGATTAATTCCCTCCTTGCCTGGTCCGTGAGTTTTGGTGGGTGGCCCTCTCTTGGCGGGTTTGTTGTGGTGCCATATTCTTTCCATTTTTTAATAATGGATTTAATGGTGCTCCGTGGGATGTTCAACGTTTCTGATATTTCTTTATAACCCAACCCTGATCTCTACTTCTCCACAACTTTGTCCCTGACCTGTTTGGAGAGCTCCTTGGTCTTCATGGTGCCGCTTGCTTGGTGGTGCCCCTTGCTTAGTGGTGTTGCAGACTCTGGGGCCTTTCAGAACAGGTGTATATATACTGAGATCATGTGACACACAGGTGGACTTTATTTAACTAATTATGTGACTTCTGAAGGTAATTGGTTGCACCAGATCTTATTTAGGGGCTTCATAGCAAAGGGGGTGAATACATATGCACGCACCACTTTTCCGTTCTTTATTTTTTAGAATGTTTTGAAACAAGTAATTTTTTTCATTTCACTTCACCAATTTGGACTATTTTCTGTATGTCCATTACATGAAATCCAAATAAAAATCAATTTAAATGACAGGTTATAATGCAACAAAATAGGAAAAATGCCAAGGGGGATGAATACTTTTGCAAGGCACTGTATACAGTTATTATTACTGTGGGATAATTATGGTTTCCATTTCTGTATTGATGATGCATTAAAGGTCCAACGCAACCATTTTTATCTCAATATCAAATCATTTCTGGGTAACAATTAAGTACCTTACTTTGATTGTTTTCAATGAAAATTATTAAAAATAAACAAAAATAGCTACTTAGTAAAGAACAATTTCAAAAGAAATAATTTTGCTAGGACTCTCTGTAAGTGATCTGAGTGGGGCATTCTGCAGCGATACGGCATTACATTTACGTTACATTTACATTTACGTCATTTAGCAGACGCTCTTATCCAGAGCGACTTACAAATTGGTGCATTCACCTGATAGACAGTGGGATAACCACTTTACAATATTTGTTTTTTTGTTTTTTTTGGGGGGTGGGGTGGGGTTAGGGGGGGGGGGGGGGGTTTAGAAGGATTACTTTATCCTATCCCAGGTGTTCCTTAAAGAGGTGGGGTTTCAAATGTCTCCGGAAGGTGGTGAGTGACTCCGCTGTCCTGGCGTCGTGAGGGAGCTTGTTCCACCATTGGGGTGCCAGAGCAGCGAACAGTTTTGACTGGGCTGAGCGGGAACAGTGCTTCAGCAGAGGTAGGGGAGCCAGCAGGCCAGAGGTGGATGAACGCAATGCCCTCGTTTGGGTGTAGGGACTGATCAGAGCCTGAAGGTACGGAGGTGCCGTTCCCCTCACAGCTCCGTAGGCAAGCACCATGGTCTTGTAGCAGATGCGAGCTTCAACTGGAAGCCAGTGTAGTGTGCGGAGGAGCGGGGTGACGTGAGAGAACTTGGGAAGGTTGAACACCAGACGGGCTGCGGCATTCTGGATGAGTTGTAGGGGTTTAATGGCACAGGCAGGGAGCCCAGCCAACAGCGAGTTGCAGTAATCCAGACGGGAGATGACAAGTGCCTGGATTAGGACCTGTGCCGCTTCCTGTGTAAGGCAGGGTCATACTCTCCGAATGTTGTAGAGCATGAACCTACAGGATCGGGTCACCGCCTTGATGTTAGCGGAGAACGACAGGGTGTTGTCCAGGGTCACGCCAAGGCTCTTCGCACTCTGGGAGG